TAGCAAAGGCAGAGGGAAAGATGAGGTAAGTCTAATCATGCAAGTGCCTTTCCAGCCTCTAATTGCTTCTCATTTGCTAATATCCCATTGGTCAAAGCGAGTCACATGGTCAAGGCCAGAGTCACGGGGGCAGGCACTAGGGAGTTAGGTGGCAAAGTTAACAGATACACGGAGGACGAAGAATTGGGCCACACTTGGAATCTGCCGCACCATGCAAACCACCTCCTGCCCAAGAGCCCTAGAAATGAGACACCATCAAGGGAAAGGGGAGACAATCCCAATTTTAACTGATCTTAAGCACAAAATGGCTGCTAGATCATGAAATTGTCCGAGTTCACCTGCAATTTACTAGATTACGTTTGCTGCCATTAAACAGAAATGGAGACCAGGGTAAAAATTAAGTTTAATTGTAGAAAGATAAAGTTACAATTTTTGCTCATGTGATTTGTGACTGTAATTTGTTTCCACTACCTCCATTAAGCCAAAGATTCAAAATTGCCCAAACCATTGATAAGTCATGCTTAAAGACTATAGAAGCCACTTTTCTGAAGACTTCCAACCAAACCAGGCAGTGACATCCCAAGATAACACAGTTTTACTTCAAAAAAGCAAATAGAGAGGTGAGGAGACATTAAAAATTACAATTTGGGAGCCAGCCCGGTGGCATAGTGGTTAAGTTTGTGCATTCCACTTCAGTAGCCTGGGGTTTGTAGGTTTGGATCCTGGGCACGGACCTAGCACCACTTGTCAAGCCAGGCTGTGGTGGCGTCCCACATAAAATAGAGAAAGATTGGCACAGATGTTAGCTCAGGGCCAATCTTCCTCACCAAAAAATAAATAAATAAATAATCTGATGTGGCCTACAACTGTGGATTCTGGAATAAAGTGTCCAGGGGCCTCTGACACTCTTTCTAGAATACCATCTTTCTAACGACAGCTATCTCTGTACATACAACAATAATTGTCTCAAATGTAAAATACCACTTATCTGGCTAGATCTGTCTGGGTCAAGGCAAAAAATAACATTCAATTGCTTGTTGTCAAATGAATAATGTTATTGTCATTAAACCAGTTCTAGGGTATAATCTGGTGGGTGACAGGTGGCTCTATTTAGGACCGGCTGGGACACCAAGCTCTAAAGACAAACGTTCCATGTTGCTTCTCCTGCCAGAGGTTCTTCCTCAGGTTTGTTGGGAGATGCCCAAAGTAGGGAGGGGCCAGGGCCGAGGGCGCCAGGAGCAAGACCAGGAGGGACTCAGCTACCACAGGATGGAGGAAGGGATCCCATAGGTCTGAGCAGTTTATCTCAGAACCAGTATATCACAAGGTTCTCTCTGAGAGAGAAAGAGAGAGAGGGGGGAAGGGAGATTTTCCTCCCCATTTTCACAGTAACATAAGTGTGCTCATTTGTCAGGTGTCTCTGTCATATCCTGTCATCTTCCGTGTGTATGTGTGTGTGATGTTCCATTCCAAAACAGAAAAGTCTTCAGAGAACGAAATGTTTGTGCCCTTTTTATAAGCCAGGGGTGCCAGCAGAGGGAGGGGCGCTGACTGGCTCAATTCCTTTTGTCCTGATATTTCCTTGTGACTTAAGGTCACAGGGATGCTGTGGGTCAGGAGCTTCACCACAAAGTGGGATTCTTTGAAGGGCAAGGACTGCCCACAGAAGGATGCCCACCATCCCAATAGACGAAAGGAAGTCAAAAGACGCCTGAAATGAATCATCACTTACCATGGGCGAATTGTATGGTATGTGCATTATATCTCAATCAAAAAAAAAAAGAGAGAGAGAGAGACAGTCTGAAGTTTCCAGGTCTCCAGGACCCTTGGAGACTCTTTCATGGCATCCTGAAAACCCCAGCCTGAGCATCAGAGCCATTTCCTTCTATTTACAAAAGCACCAGTGGTCACCTTCTTCAAGGGCCGCTGGAAATGGTGTGGAGAGTCTGGAGCAAACTGCTAAAAACCGTGCAGTCAAAATTCACCTGCGGAGCAGACCTGCTGACTCTGGCACTTCTGGGGGATTGCATATCCTACAGATGTCCCTGGTAGGTGGCCACGTGGAGGCCACACTGGAGCTGCCATAACCCGTCTACAGATGAACACACAGACCTGGGATTTGGGCACCAGCTGGAACGCTAGAGCTGCCAGGTGGAAGGTCTCATTTCTGGTCCCATTTCTCAGGTGCCAACGCTGATGACCAAACTCTCCATCACCAACCTCTGCCCCCACCGGGGAATAAACGCCCACTGGAGACAGAGGGCGCAGCTCTGGGGTCAGGATATTGGGGCCCACGGTCTCGCCCACGATTTTGTCTTCACATCCTGAAAACCCTCTCTCAGGGAGCTGGGAAAATCCAATCGCCCCCACAGCTCAGGGGGCTCTGACTGGAACCAGCAGTAGCACCACCAGACCACCAGACCCATGGCCCGCAGCTTGGGGTCATCTGCATCCGGTGCTGGGCTCCTCATGGCTCCAGTTAAAGGAAGGCATTAGTGTGCCTTAATCCATTTGAATGACTTCAAATCCAGCTGGCCGCTGCCTTGGCACCGCAGCCCAGCTTTCCGCCCCACCACCACCTCCTTTGCGGTCAGCCCGCGGGACTCACAGCATCGCGGTTGCCCAGACAACACCTCAACCCACGGCCAGAGCTGCATCGTGATTGGTCCAAGCTCAAGAGCTTGCTAATCTCCCTAGCAGCGATTGATTAGAAGTGGACACGTGACACAGCCTGGATCGGTTTCCCGCCTCCTAGTGGAGAGACGGCCTTCCTCCGGAGACTGTCTGGATGTGACAGCCCGAGGGATGCCCAGAGCCCCAGTGGGCCAACCCTGGTACCACCCTCCCTTCAAACGACTGGTGTGAAATAACATATAGCCCCATCGACTTCGCCAGTTTCTGTCGGGCGTTTCTGTTCCCTCTGCTGGAAGCATCCGCGCTGCTCTTGATTCCACGAATGCTGAGAACACCTCCTGGACCTGTGCGGAGCCAAGTCCTGCTTTGGTTGTGCCTCCTCTCACATGGGGCGTTTCCCTTCCTTCCTCACGTGCGTGATCTTCGCTTGACCTTCTCTAGCAACCGGACCGGCTCTTTAGTGAGAATTACGTCTGTTTACTCTCCCACCCAAGTCCCCCCACCACCTGCGGAGAGCCAGAGCAGTGGAGTCACTGCCCTTCCCTGAGATCCTGCCCTGTGTCAGACTGTGGGCCGGGGCTTACACATGCTAAGTCTTATCCTCCCCTCTGGGGTGTTATTGTTTGGATTTACATATATGGGGACTGAAGCTCAGAGAGGTTAAGTGGCTAGTCCACAGTCACAAAGCTGGAAGTTGACAGAAACAGAAGTTGAGCCCTTCATAGACAGTCCTGTTGCACAGGAAGTGTTCCACCGGCTACCTTAGGCCTCTGCTGTCACCCCTTCTCTCTCCTCTCCCTCCTGGCCCCTGCTCTTCATCACACCCCCACCCTGACCTCGCTACATGGCAGAGGAGTGGGAGCACAAGTGGCCTCCACCTCGTGGAAGGGGAAAGGAGGGAGTATCAGTTGTCATTGCCACACTGTCTGTGTCACACACCACCGAGACCCTCAGTGACATGTGATGATGAGCTATGTGTCCCTGCTCTGCTGGCTTTGGGCTTACCAACATGACTTGTTTCAGCCAGTAGGCACCTGGGGAGAGTGACGCCACGATGGTTCTGAGGAGAACTTGTCTGTTCCCACTTGATTTGTTGCACTTTCACCATCACTATGAGAAAAAGCTTCTCTGGAGCAGCTGCTGCCCCTTGAGCCTGGGCCAGACATGCACACACCTCTCCAGGTGAGTCGTCCCAGCTGATCCCGAGCTCTGGAGGGAAAAGCTAAGGCTCCCAGCCAAGTGCAGACACCGAGCGAGGCCAACTGAAGTGAGCAGAGCAGCCCCAGCCACCTCCGTAAATGCGTAACACGTATCACTGAGGTTCTTGGTTGTTGGCTACATGCGTAGCGGGGAGGGTCATATTGTGTTCTGTTTGCACCGATATTTTCATAACTCGTGCTGGTTTGCCACCTCGTTGACAAAAGAACTGTTTTGGCTTCACAGTGCTATTTCTAGAAGGTGTTGAGGGTAAAACACTTAGTAGAGGACTTGGTATAAAGTGGACACTTCCTAAATGCAGTGGTGATGATGATGATGATGATGAAGATGAAGATAACGATGGTGGGGGTGACAATGATGATGACAGTGCTGGAGGTGATGATGATGACAATGGTGGAGGTGATGATGACAGTGGTGGGGGTGATGATGATGACAATGGTGGGGGTGATGATGATGACAATGGTGGGGATGATAACGATGATGACAATGGTGGAGGTGATGATGATGATGACAGTGGTGGTGATGATGACAGTGGTGGTGATGATGATGATGGTGACAATGGTGGGGGTGATAATGATGATGACAATGGTGGAGGTAACGATGATGGTGGTGGTGGTGATGATGACAATGGTGGGGGTGATGATGACAGTGGTGGTGATGATGATGACAATGGTGGGGGTGATGATGATGACAATGGTGGAGGTGACGATGATGGTGGTGGTGGTGATGACAAGGGAGGTGGTAGTGATGATGATGATAGTGGTGGTGGTGATGCTAATTCTGTGAGGCACTAAGTAGAACCCTGGCTGCTCAGGGACACCCTTGAGCTCCCCACTCCTCTCCACGGAAGGAGAACCTTTTTTCTAGAAAGCGCTTGGTGCTACAGAGAGCCTCAGGCTGGCAACCCAAGTAGCACCTCCTTAATTTCAATCCAATTATGCAGCAGATGGCCCAGGCCTGAGTGGCTTTCTCTAATGGTATTTACCTGCTCCTGGCATTTTAGCTGATAAACACAGAAGATAACTCTTCAAAAAAAAATTAACGAGATTATTATGGAAAATAAACAACCATCAATTAAGGCATCACAGAAAAATGGGGATTAAAAGGAGCCGATGCGATGGACTTTTTCATCTTGTTATTTTTGGCAGGAGGCCAAGACCTGACAGACTGAGGTGATAACAAGGAAAAAGAAAAGCTGTCGAACCACACCACTCATCTGTCAGTAGCCAGGCTGTGGCAGCGGTCATCCTTCTGGGACCTCCTAGGCTCTCTGGGGGCAGGTTAGGACCTCTCCTCTCTGTCCTCCATGGGTTTCCTAGGGAGCCTTGGGCAGTGAGGGCTGCAGTCACCGGCAGGAGGCGGGTTGAGGCGCTCTGCTGTCACTAGAACGGGAGTGGGGCACCAGAAGGCGCAGGTGAAAACTGATTCCCTCACTCCACAAACGTGCCAGTCCCCCGAGGGAGAGGATGCCCTGTCCTCACGGAGGTTACATTCAAGAGGGAAAGACACACCCAACAAGTAAACGAAGTGATTGAAAGTATTAACAATGCTTGAAAGAGTAGGAAAGCAAACACACAGAGTAAAATTGGTTGAATCTCCAGGCTCTTTAGCAGGGTTTGCTGTTATTTGCAACTCAGTTACTGAAACTCATCCTTGGCCTGTACAAAACTCAGCCACTCGCCGCCCATCCCTGGGGTAGCTTCCTTGTCCCTCCCTGCCAGGCTCCGGGCCTGGTGGAGGCCAGGGAGGAATAAGTTGAAGGGATGGTAAGCTTCAAGAAGAGTTGTACCAGGAACATTCTGGCTCTGGAACCACTTTCAATCCGACTCCAGGCCTTTGCTTGCTGAAGGCTGTCCTTACCTCGCATAGGAATCAGCATGAGCTGTGTGTGCCCGCAGGCTCAAGACACACCTGCCATCCTGCCACAGGTGGCTTCTGCTGCCCCTAGCAGGGATTCGTGTTCTTAATTTCCTCTTCCATCTCTCCCCAGGACTCTGGCTGTATGGTGATAGAAGATCGCTATGATGAAGGTCAACCTTGTGGATGATACTTTTTTGCTGGGCCAATTACTTTGCATAAAGCCGGAAAATGATTCATCTGTGTAGTCCAGCTTAGCAGGTCCTCAGCAGAGAACACCTTTAGAAAGCGACGGAGAGGGTGAAATCGATTTTCCTATGAGGGTATACATTTCTGCGTCCTCACCATATGCAGTTGGATGAGTTATAAGCACACATGCCCATTACTTCTATTCAGTTTGACACACTTAGAATAAATGGCCAGGCTTTAGAGCTGCTTCTGTTTTATCTTTGTAGTTCTGGGCCCAAGAAGGCAAACTCTTTCAGTTTTAGTTCCTGTGTCTTCAAGGCTGTACCCTTGAGTTTTGGCAGAAAGTCCTTAAGGATTCCGGGCTGCTGTGCCCCTGGGGCTTCGAACTTCCAGAACTTTCTCCCATTCCATTCTCTTTTTTTCTGGGCTCACGGATCCTCATCTCCTTTGAAATCCCTGTGGATAAGATGGTGAAACACAGGCTGGAAGCCACTGAGATCTGAGAGCTGAGCAACTAGTTGAACAACTGTGCCTAAAGGTGTCCCAGAAGCAGATGGGTGTTAACTGAATGGGGTCTGCAAGGGAGGCCCTGGCTGCCCTTGGCACTTCCTTGTTCTATATTTGTGTCTGCAACAGCTGAATTCGGACATGACCTGGGTATAGAAAACATATTAGCCTAATAGTTAAGAATATGGGCTGGCACCAAACCGCTGGGTTGAAGTCCGGCACTGCCACACACTAGCTAGTTGTCCTGGAGCAAGTTATTTAACTTCCCTATGCCTCAGTTTACTCATCTATATAATGGGAATCCTAATAGTTTCCACTTTAGAATTGTTGCGAGGATTGAGAGTTAAGCACCTAGAATTTACTGTTCCTGTGTTGGTCGTTGTTACAACAGTTGTTGGGTGTAGTTGTAATAACAGGGAGTTGCAACACTAGCAGGTGGGAGGGGGAGTAAATGCACCAGCTGACAAAATGGGATCCAGAATATCTCACTAAGTCACGGTGATGGGCAAATTTAACAATAAAGCTGACTGCTGTGCCCCCAACAGCACAGGATGAGAAAAACATGGTTTTGCAGTAGTACAGGAGAAAATGATGTGAGGGATCGTTCCATAGTAAATTTAATAGGAATCAACTCAAGTGGTGGGTTACCATACAAAAAAAACTTACATAATCTCCCCCCGTGTCCCTTAGATGTGGGTGATTGGAAGGGGGAGGGCACCGGCCTTAGCCTGGACAGGCAGACCACACCTGGACAAATTTGGGGTGCCCACTGTGAAGGGAGTCTAGACAGGCAGGAATGCGTGCAGAGGAGAGTGAGCTGATCCTGCAGGGGCTGGAAGGCATGTGACTCAGTAAGCGATGCCACCTGTGGTAACAAACAAGTCCCTAACCACAGAGACGGAACACAGTCGTTAATTACTTGCTCACCTAACCGATGTTCTGACGTAGGGGTGAGCCATCCTCCAGCAGTGGGCCAGGGCACCTCCCTTTGTGCTGAAAGAGTGTGGAGACTATAAGTGGAAGGCGTGTATGGGTCAGGTCTGGAAATGGCCACACGCATTCACTCACATTCTAGAGCCCCTGTGGTCACACCTGCAGGAGATGCTAGGTAGTGCAGTCTGGCCATGAGGCCAGCAGAAGAGACGCACTTGGCGATCAGCCACTGGCATCTGCCACTCTACGAATTGTGAAGAAGGTCCAAGAAGCAGGACGCTGAGCCCGAGAAGAGTGGGAGGGCTTAAGATGTGTCTCCAAACATTGGAAAGGTCTCTTTGTAAAAGAGAGGATCATCTTTGTTGGTGTCACTTCAGAGGGCAGAAGCAGAACCTGTGGATGGAGAGATCTAGGGAGGCTGGTGGGGTGAACGACCATCCTAGTTTGCCTGGACTGTCTGGTTTTAGCAATGAAAGCCTACCTCCTGGGAAACCCATCCGATGACATCAGATGACGTTGGTCATCCCAGCGTGGCCAACTTTGGGTTGACACAGGTGTGTCTATCCTAGGAGCTATCCCGGGCAACACTCCTTCCCCCGTCCCCCCACTCATTTAGATATGAGTGACAGTGTTGTTGGCCGTCAGTTCAATGTTAATGAGCCAACAATAGATGTTAAATAAGGTGTCTTTAAAGAGAAGTACATTGATTGACTGATGAAAATGTTGCAGCCAGAGGTTTGCAGGAACCTAACCCAGTGTTTCCCCTAGGAGCGATGGTGCAGTATTCGCTAATTCCATTTCATGGTGACTTTATAGAACATAGCTACTGAAGATAACAAGAATTGACTTTATATCCATACAATGGAATATTTTCGGCCATAAAAAGAAAAGAAGTCCTGATGCATGCCACAACATGGATGAACCTTGGAAACATTTTGCTGAGTGAAGTCAGTCACAAAAGACCATGTTTTGTGATTCAATTTTATGAAATGTTCACAATAGGGAAATCTCTAGAGACAGAAAGATTAGTGGTTGCTTGGGGCTGGCCGATGGAGGGGAGAGGGAGAGTTAGAGGGGAACAATAGCCCCGGGGTACAGGGTTTCTTTTTGGGTGATAAAAATTGTCTGAAATTGACTTTGTGATGGTTGCACATATCTATGGCTATACAAAAACACTGAATTGTATACTTTAAATGGGTGAATTGTATGGTATGTGAATTATATCTCAATAAAGCTGTTTAAGAAAATAACCCTCATGTGTGACTCACAGGAGGGACAGGACGGGGACACACCTGGCTAGCTTCACCCTCAGCACCTCCTGCATCCTTGCTCTGACATCCTCTGCCCTTCAGAGGTGGGTTCAGCCCCCACTCCCGGCTTCTTTGGGGGGAGCAGCCCCCACGCCGATCTGCCCTCTCCAGCGTGCCCCCCTCCGAAAGCTGGCAAATTGAATTCTCCCATCACATATGGAAGACTTTCCAGCAGAGGTGCCCAAATACAGCGCGGGCGCTCCAGGAGGAAGCGATTCCTCCTTCTCTAATGGTTTGAGCACCATTTGGAAGATGACCTCGTGGATTCCTCTGGGATCCAAGCAGCCCATTGCAGGGGTTCTAGGTGACACAGCTGTAAGATCTCTTCCAACCCAGAGAGCCTTGCATTAGTCAGGAATGACATTGATCACAATTAACAAAATGCCTGACAAACAGTAGACAGCAATGAACAGAGGCAATTATCTCACATGGCCAGAAGTCGGGAGGTGGGCAGGTCCAGGATGGGTGCGGGTGCCCCAGTCTGCCATCCTCAGCATGTGGCTGTCCATCCTAGGCCTGCCACCTCAGGGTCACAGGACGCTGCCAAGCCACGAGCACCACGTCAGCACACAAAAGCGTTCTTCAAGGCAGGAAGAGGGCAAAGCTGCAGAAAAGCTTCTTTCTTAACTTTGTCTTTTTAGCCAAAAAACAAAGTCTTTCCAGAAGCCCCATCAGCTGACTTGCCCTGTGTCCCATTGGCCACAGCTGGGTCTCACGCCCGATCCTGGGGCAATTGTGGAATTGCCACAATTCGCTTAGATCGACCACAGTGTACCTTGTAAGATTGGCATCCTGGGACCCCTGTCTCTCGACCTCAACCTAATCCAGCTGCTACTGGCAGGAGAAATGGGAAAAAAGGGAATGGCTGTTGAGTGGGCCGTGAACAGTATGGGGTGAGCGTAATGGAAGGTGGAAGAGAGACTGACAGCCTTCTCTTACAGGAATATTGTTTCGACATTTTAAGAACCACCAGAAAAAAAGACTTCGATGCTTGCAATCACAAGCTCTAAATCTAACCAAGTTTCACCAGTGGGCCAGCAACGATAGCCCTAAACGTCCCCAGGGCTTAAGACATCAAAGCCCTCACTTGGATGGTGGCTGGAAGGACACAGCTGCCTGAAGAACGCCAGGGCGGGCACCGCTGCCTCTCCGTGGAGCATTTCCTCGGTCCGCGAACATGAAACTTCATTGTGTTACTGGATGCACAGCCCCGGTGCTCTTCTTGCCTCTGCGTGCCATTAGCAGTTCCGATTCTTAGGATGTGGAATGTTCTCTGAAAGAGATCTGCTTGCATTGACATGGCTGAGTGATGGCTCATATCTGGAGATCTGACGTGTCTGTGATGAGCAGTCGGATGCCTTCCACATGTGTGTGCATTTGCAGACACACGCCCTAAATGTGCCCGCCACGTCTTGTGAATACAGCAAAACAGCTGCAACCTTCTAAAAATTAATTGGTTTCTGGATCATTTGCATTTTTTATAGTTTGCCAACAAAAGATAGGGAGAGGGGAGGGAATTTATTAATGTTCGAAGGAATTCTCCAAAAGGGGACGAAGGGAGCATTTTCAGCGAGACCCGGAGATGCACATCTAAATATGACACCACGCTGCTTTCCTAGCCGCCCTCCCGGGCAAGCCCCTCCAAGGGGAGAATTGATATGCAGCTCTAAAAGTAGACAGCTGCTGCGGCCGCCCAGAAACCGCCTGGGGCTGACATTATTTTATTCGGGGTCTGCATTATGGTTTGGTAACGGCCATTTTCAGAAAACAACCAAGGCAATTTCAGGATTTGCTGTCACAATAGGCACACTAAAAATAAAGTCAGCATAAATAGATTAAGAAATTGACAGAATAACAAGGCATGAAGAATTAGAATGAGTGCACAGGCTCCAGATGACAACACAGCGCGTCGTGCAGGGAGAGGGGAGCGAGGGAGGGTGGAGTCTGAGCTGCTGACTCGGTGGTTTCCATGTTCCCTGACTGTGGGGAGAGCTCATTTCACAGGGACACTCGGCACTTAATCTAATTCCGCATTGGTGCCAGCGGAGGTTCTGAACTAAGGGGGAAAGCCATTTTCCTTGTGGCGATTCCATTTTTTCGTGGCTGACCTCTTAAAAGACGGATTGGAAGTTTTCTGTAGCTGACCCCTGCTCCCAAACCTGAGTTTGAAGAAGGAGAGAGATGCGATGCAGAAGGAAGCGAGTTGGAAAAAGTGTTTTCAATTCAGTCACGATATTTGGAGAAAATGAATGTCTGGAAAACTAGCAGGAGAAGAAAGGAAAATAAACTGTGCTAGAAGTTTACCGTGTCACCATAGGTCAATATATGCTGACTCTGGGGAGAGGGACTCTTCTGATCTAGCAGGTTCCGAGTAGTCTTAGTCAGCTAGTTAACTGCAAAGCCCTGGTTGGGGTTTCTATCCCCACCTCCCCAGTGTGGCTGGAAGATGTGTCTGTTTTCTGCCACATCCCAAGCTGGGAACGCCAGGGA